GCGGTGCCATTTGTAAACGCTCACGAAAGGGGACTTACGGGACTGCTACAGGTAGGGGGAAGAGCGACGGATGAGTGTGTTGAAAAGAAGCAGGTGTGTTTATTTGGAGGGGCTTCCTGCCAGTGTGTCTTTTAGAAAAAAAAATTTTTTTTGGTACCTGAGATTGTGCTTGTGAGGCAGGTGGCTGCAGCACTGAGCTGAATCCCCAGCCCTACAATTTTTTTTGTTTGGTTGGTTGTGGTGTGTGTGTGTGTGTGTGTGTGGATACAGGGGATGGAACTCATTGTTTGTTTGTTTGTTTGTTTGAGACAGGGTCTCACTACGTAGTTGAGACCGACCTGGAACTCATTATGAAGCCCAGGCTGGTTTCGAACTCACAGCGGTCCTCCTGCCTCAGCCTCCGGAGTGCTGGGATTACAGGCGTGCACCACCACGCCCGGCTCTGCATACAAATTTTTATTTATTTATTTATTTTTGGTGCCGGGGATCGAACTTGGGTCCTTGCACTTGCAAGGTAGATGGCGGAACCACGGAACTAACCCCCCGGCCCTGCATACAAATTTTTAAATGTGCAAACTCACTGTATTTTTTCAACCACATCCTGTATTTATTTGTTCTTGCAAGAGTTAGATCTTTAAGGGCCAGGGATTTAGCTCAGTGGTGCCACCACCTGCCTCACAAGCACAAGGTCCCAAGTTTGATCCCCATACCCCCGCCAAAAAAAGACAGAGATCTATAAGAACTCTTCCAAGAAAGAGTTAAAGTCACCATATTACAGCGATCCAGGCACACGTGATCTACAGTGTTTATAGAGGCACAATTGTAATGGCTTGGAAGTGGCCTATACGTTCAGTAGATGAAAGGATAAAGAAAACGTGGTATTTACGCACGATGAAAAACTACTGAGCCATACAGAAGGAAAAACTGGAATCATTTGTGGGGAAATGGACGCCCCCCGAGACCGCGTTAAGTGAAATACGTCCCACAGGCAGGCTCAACCAACGAGTGGCTTTTCTCCTGTGAGGAACACAGAGTAGAGAGCGGAACAAACAGTAGGTAATGCAGGCAGGAGGGAGGTGGCGAAGGGGATCCAGGGACAGAGAAAAGGAAAGGAGAGGAATTGAGACGGGCTAGGTCCACCCCCAGGAGGGCCGCGGGGTCCAGTGCCCCGCCACCCACGCGGAGGCTGGGACATCCCGGCTCTGGCCACGCCTGCTTGGAAGACAGATTCCAAAGTCTGAGAAAAATTCCCCAACCAGAGAAGGCCCTGGTCCCCAGCAACTCGGACGGAGGAAACCCAGGCCACACAGGGCGTGGCAGAAACATCTGGTGAATGTTTAAACTCTTAGAGTAAAACCTTGCCATTCTCTGCCTCCTAACACCCACCCCCGCCTCGAACACCAGCGCATTGTTTTTGCCACCTGTGAGGCAGCTCCCGAGGTCCCCTCTGGGTCTCTGTGTGGCTGCCTCAATGTCCTGAATTTATTCAAAATGTTTCTGAAAATTTCTGTCAGAAAAGTGATGCTGTGTCCTCATCCACCTTATTCACTGGCTCTGGTACTCCGTTAAATGACCACGAGTGGGAAATGTGTGGAGTCTGTGTAGGGTGTTGAGGGAGCCAGAGCGGTGCCATTTGTAAACGCTCACGAAAGGGGACTTACGGGACTGCTACAGGTAGGGGGAAGAGCGACGGATGAGTGTGTTGAAAAGAAGCAGGTGTGTTTATTTGGAGGGGCTCTCTGCCAGTGTGTCTTTTAGAAAAAAAAATTTTTTTTGGTACCTGAGATTGTGCTTGTGAGGCAGGTGGCTGCAGCACTGAGCTGAATCCCCAGCCCTACAATTTTTTTTGTTTGGTTGGTTGTGGTGTGTGTGTGTGTGTGTGTGTTGATACAGGGGATGGAACTCATTGTTTGTTTGTTTGTTTGTTTGAGACAGGGTCTCACTACGTAGTTGAGACCGACCTGGAACTCATTATGAAGCCCAGGCTGGTTTCGAACTCACAGCGGTCCTCCTGCCTCAGCCTCCGGAGTGCTGGGATTACAGGCGTGCACCACCACGCCCGGCTCTGCATACAAATTTTTATTTATTTATTTATTTTTGGTGCCGGGGATCGAACTTGGGTCCTTGCACTTGCAAGGTAGATGGCGGAACCACGGAACTAACCCCCCGGCCCTGCATACAAATTTTTAAATGTGCAAACTCACTGTATTTTTTCAACCACATCCTGTATTTATTTGTTCTTGCAAGAGTTAGATCTTTAAGGGCCAGGGATTTAGCTCAGTGGTGCCACCACCTGCCTCACAAGCACAAGGTCCCAAGTTTGATCCCCATACCCCCGCCAAAAAAAGACAGAGATCTATAAGAACTCTTCCAAGAAAGAGTTAAAGTCACCATATTACAGCGATCCAGGCACACGTGATCTACAGTGTTTATAGAGGCACAATTGTAATGGCTTGGAAGTGGCCTATACGTTCAGTAGATGAAAGGATAAAGAAAACGTGGTATTTACGCACGATGAAAAACTACTGAGCCATACAGAAGGAAAAACTGGAATCATTTGTGGGGAAATGGACGCCCCCCGAGACCGCGTTAAGTGAAATACGTCCCACAGGCAGGCTCAACCAACGAGTGGCTTTTCTCCTGTGAGGAACACAGAGTAGAGAGCGGAACAAACAGTAGGTAATGCAGGCAGGAGGGAGGTGGCGAAGGGGATCCAGGGACAGAGAAAAGGAAAGGAGAGGAATTGAGACGGGCTAGGTCCACCCCCAGGAGGGCCGCGGGGTCCAGTGCCCCGCCACCCACGCGGAGGCTGGGACATCCCGGCTCTGGCCACGCCTGCTCAGGCCTCCTGCCTGGACCCGTCCCTCACACACTCACTAGCGGCTCCTGGCCCTGCCCGGCCAGAGGCTGGGCCGCCCTGGGGACAGACATCAGAGACAGAGGGATGGACAGACGGACGACACCCCCGACTCTGCCCTTGGGGGCAGCACACGGGTGATGGGGTCCTAATCCATCCCTCCATACTTTTTATTTTTTAATTTTTACTTGGCTGTTTATTTTTTTACCTTTATTAAATGTATCGGTACATATTAGGTATACGACACAGTTACATTCATCATTGGGATCTTGTACCTTTACATGACTTACCAGGTTCTTATTTTTCCCCATTTCCCAGCCCTGCCTTCACCCCCTCCACCCTCTCCTGTTTAAAGACTTTGTTTCCATGTTTTTCCTTTTCACATATTTTTTTCTTTTCCCTTTTTCTTTTTCCCAACCCTCCCACTTCCTCTACTCTTTTAGACTTTTCTTCCTATCACACAATATCAATTATACATTTTAATCCTCATTACACTTTTGCTTTTTCACACCAGAGGAACTATTCGGTATTTATACATGTGTAACTTATTTTTTAATTTCACGTAAGGGCCTGGCCTCAATGTGCACCCACTTAGCTATAAATCTCTCTAGTTTCTTGTTCTTTATGGCTGAGCAGTACTCCATTTTATTAAAAAAAAAAACCCACATCATACAGATGATGGACAATTGGGTTGTTTCCAAGTTTTAGCTATTACAAACTGTGCCGCTATAAACATGGGTGTGCATATATCACTGTGGTGTGATTCTTTTAATTCTTTTGGGAAGATGCCCAGCAGGGGAATAGCTGGGTCAAATAGAACCGCTAATCCTAGTTGTTTGAGGTGTCTCCGTATTGATTTCCACAGTGGCTGCACCAGTCTGCACTCCCACCAACAATGGAGAAGGGTTCCTTTCTCCCCACAATCCCGCCAACATTTGTTATTGGTTGATTTCTTGATAGCAGCCATTCTTTGTGAGGTGAGGTGGAATCTCAGTGTTGTTTTCATCTGCATCTCTTGAATGACCAGTGATGTTGAACATTTTTTCAAGTTTATTTGCTGCTGTGACTTCTTTTTCTGAGAAATGTCTGTTCATTTCAGATGCCCATTTTTGAATCGGATCTTTATATTTGGAGGGTCTGATTTTTTTCAGGTCTTTACATATTCTAGATAGCAGACCTTTGTCTGAGGAACAGCTGGTAAATTTTTTCCCACATTGGAGGTTGTCTCTTAGCTCTGTTGGTGGTTTCTCTGGCATTGCAGAAGCTTTTTAAAAAGATGAGATCCCAGGTGTTGATTCTTTGTGCTAGTTCCCGTGCTGCTGAGGATTCGTTCATGAAGTCTTTTCCTATGCCAATGTCTTCGAGACTTCTACCTAACTTATCTTCCAGCAAGTTTAGAGTTTCTGTTTTAATATTTAGATCTTTAAACCACTTGGATTTTAGTTTAGTGGATGTTGAGAGATAAGGGTCTAGTTTTAATCTTTGGCAGGTTGAGATCCAGTTTTCCAACACCATTTATTAAAGAGGCTATCTTTCCTCTACTGAGGAAGGTTGGCTCCTTTGTCAAAGATGAGGTATTTGGGGCTGGGGATTTAGCTCAGTGGTGCCGCCGCCTGCCTCACAAGTGCAAGGTCCTGAGTTTGATCCCTGGTACCAAAAAAAAAAAAAAACAACAAAAAAAAAGATGAGGTAGCTGAGTACATCTGGAGTTGTTTCAGTATCTCCAATCTATTCCACTGATCCTCGGGTCTTTTTCTTTGCCAGTACCATGCTGTTTTTATCACAGTGGCTTTGTAATATAGTTGGGCTCCCCTGTGCTCCTGTGGGCCACTGAATGACTGACTTTGGGAAGGGGGGCCGGCTGGCTTGAACCAGGACACGAGCACTGGCTTGGACACATCGTGCCCATGGTTCTGCAGTCCGAGGTGTTTATGTGGTGGCTGGGGAGGGTTTTACCAGTGTGGGGAGCCGGGTGTGACGGTGCATGTCTGTAATTTCAGCACCGGGGAAGCTGAGGCAGGAGGATTGCGGGGAGGTCAGGCCAGCCTGGACTATAAAGCAAATCCCTGTCTCCAATCCATCATCAATCAATCAATCAGTGGGAGGAGAAGCGTGACACAGAGGCTTGGACCTTTGCTCACAGCGACCGGCACTGCTTGCTACGGGTCAGAGCACGTCCCAAGCCCGGCCTGGATTCCGGGTGTGCGGGATCTGCTCAACATCCAGCGGGAAAGTCTGCGACGTGACCTGACAGCACACCGATTGGGAGTCGCCTTTGCAATCTGGAGGCAGCCAGGCTGGAGGCCACTGTGTCCCCAAGGAGTCGCCTGCACCTGGGCTGGAGGAAGGAGGTGGCTCTCTGGAGCCAGGGTTAGCTTAGGTCTCTGTGACTCTGCCTTAACTACTGTGCAGGCACCTCTGGCAGGACAAGTGGGACAATAAACTTCCTCCTCGGTGAAGCCAGATGGAGTAGGGTTTTCTGCTACCTGAAGCTTGCAGCCTCTCCCACCAATGCTCACGGGATGAGACTCCTCCTGTGCCGTCACGGAGGCCTGTTCACTGGGTCCCGACACAGGCAAACTCGTCATCCAAGCCAGAGGTGATTGTGCTCCTTGCTCCAGTCCATAAACAGCCCCAACTGTCGACCCCGCGGTCCCCCAACTTTGCAAGGTGACACCCATTGCTGCCACTTCCGTGACTGAGGAGAGTGTTAACAAGGACACACTTTTCCAGAAATAAACTGGGGCAAGTGCTTTACTTAAAACTTGAAAGTGTGGCTGGGCATTTAGCTCAGCTGTGCTGCGCCTGCCTTGCAAGCTCAAGGTCTTGAGTTCGATTCCCGGCACCAAACAGACAAACTTGAAAGTGGTGTAGACACGCGGTGAAAACAAGATACTTCTCGTTTCCATTGTTTTTTTTTTTTTCCTTTGAGACAGGGTCTCACTATGTAATTGAGACTGAGCTGGAACTCACTATGTAGCCCAGGCTGATCTCTAACTCACAGCGACCCTCCTGCCTCAGCTCTGGAGTGCTGGGATGACAGGCGTGCACCACCACGCCTGGGCATTCTGTTTTCTCTTTTTTGGTACCAGGATCAAACTCAGGACCTTGAGAGCTTGCGAGGCAGGTGGCAGCACCATTGAGCCAAATCCCTTGCCATCTTGTTTCCATTCTTAATCCTCCCTTCCTACTTCTCCTCCCTGGAGACAGCTGTCACCTTCTCATATATCCGTCCAGACCCCCGGCCATGTGAAAGCATTTAAACGCACCAGAACCTAATCCTGCACTGTGCGTGTTCTACGAAGAGGGTGTCTTCTGGATGGCTGAATACAAACCCTGTGACGGTGGCTAGGTGTTCCCTTTGACGGCACACTGTGTCCAGAGGTATTTCACCGATCCCTTTTTGGCGGGCATTTAGGTTTGTTTTTTGTTGTTGTTATTTTTTTTTTTTTTTGCTTTTGTTTTTTTGAGTCAGGGTCTCACTATGTAGCTCAGGCTGGCCTCAGATTGGCAGTGATCTTCCTGTCTCAGCCTCCCAAGTGCTGGGATTACAGGCATGCGCCACCATATCTGGCTAGTTAGGTTGTTTTAAATCTGCTGTGATGGTATTTTTGGAAGTTTGAAAACTTCAATATAACACACATCCTGGACAATATAAAAAAAAGGAACTGGGAGCCAGGGATTTAGCTCAGTGGTGCCACCTCCTGCCTCAAAGTGAAGTGCAAGGTCCTGAGTTTGAGTTTGATCCCTGGTACCAAAAGAAAGAAACAAACAAGCTGGGTGTGGTAGCGCACACCTGTAATCCCAGCGCTCAGGAGGCTGAGGCAGGAGGATCGCTGTAAATTCAAGACCAGCCTGGGCTACATAGTAAGTTGCAGGTCAGTCTCAACTACATAGTGAGACCCCGTCTCAACCCCCAGCAGAAAAGAAATAAACAAACAAACAAACAAACAAAAAAACAAACCAAAAAACAAAAAAACAGGAACTGGTCAAACTCATTGACTGTTCACAGGTGAACACCCACATGACTTCGTCAGGTCAGGAAATAAACCGATGTAGCCACCTCCATTGCCCCTCCCTCCCCTGCTGGTCCCAATCCTGCCTCCAGGTCCCCCAAACGCAAACTCGATTCCAAAGGTTGCCCTACAAATTGTTTGGTCTTTTGTTTTCCTGCTGAAGGTTTCACTAGAAACATTTCAAAACTACGGTTAAAATGCCAGTGCAGCTTTCCACCGAGTTTACCAGATGTTGATATTTGTGTAGCCCACGCTCAAGCCTCTCCTCCCACTCCCTACACATGAGATGCAGGCAAATCACAGGATGTCCACCCTACAGCAAACCAGCAAGGAGGGAGCCAGGGATTTCGCTCAGTGGTTCTGGAGCCTGCTTTGCAAGCACAGGGACCTGAGTTCGATCCCTGGTACCAAAAAGAAAAGAAAAGAAATATATATACAAAATAATAAAAACAAATATTATGGGCAGGGATTCAGCTCAGTGGTTCTGCCACTGATTCAAAAGTGTAAGGTCCTGAGTTTAATCCCCAGTACCAAAAAAAAAAAAAAAAAAAAAAAAAAAAAAAAAGCCAGAATGGAGTCTGGGACCAGAACACCCAGGCACAGCTCCCCCCACCCAGGTTGGGCTCAGGGGCAGCTCCGGAAAATCCTTGATCTTTTGAAACTAGGTACAAGGAAGACATCGTGATACTTCACCTAAAATTATTTAGCCTGTGCCTCCTAAGAACACGAACATTTTTTCCCTGCGTAGCCATCAATCATAATTTTCTGTAAGAACTTTAGGATCTAATAAAGAGGCCATATTCAAACTTCCTAACTGTCCCCATTACAAACTTTCTTCTTCTTTTTTTTTTAAATCAGGATTTAGCTGGGCATGGTGACACATGACTGTAGTAATCCCAGCATTCTGGGAGGCTGAGGCAGGAGGCTTGTCTGTTCAAATCCAGCCTGGGCAATTTAGTGATTTAGCAAGACCCTGTCTCAAAATAAAAAATAAAAAGGGCTCAGGGCGTGCTCAGTGCCCAGTGCAAAGGATATGGGTTCTACCCCAGTACTAAAAACAAAAACAAAAAGACCTGCAACCTACAGTGATTTTCCTCCCCCACCTCAACTGACCCTGCACGACATAAACACGGTCTAGACTGATTCCATAAAGTAGAAGTCGAAAGCCCGGAATGATGGAGCAGGTCTGTAACCCCAGCACTTGGGAGGCTGAGCCAGGAGGATCGCCCTGAGCTACTTCAAATCTCCGGCTTCCCCCCAGCAGTAATCTGTATTGGAGCACTGTTCTGTGCCCATGCCGGCCGGTGTTGGGCCGGAGTGTGGCCCAGGAGTTGCACTGAGCCTCACTGATGGCGCTGCCACCTGTGGTGCCGGTTCCCCCCCCCCGGGGGGTCTGCGGCTCACCCGGCGGGTTCTGGGTGGCGGATGTTTCCGATCCGCTGCTACGCCTACGCGACCTCGAAGCCAGACTCTTTGATCTTTGCCTTCTCAGAGAGCAAGTGGGATCCCGGGGAGGTTTTTAATTTGCATCGATGTTCTAATGACTACAGTCAAGTCCTCCGGGGCTGCGGTTTTCAGAGCCGCCGCAGTCTCCCGGGGAGGGCGGGGAGCGCAGGCTGGAGGGGCCTGGTCCTGGGAAGGGGCAAAGGCGTGCTGCACACGGCTAACGCCGGGGGGGGCCGAGCCCGG